ACTATTTGTAAAGATGATTTACTTTCGCTCTAAGCTTCTTAATCTTCAAATCCCAATCCCCTCTTACTTATGCATAATATAAATGTTTGAACTTTAGATTTCCTCTATGAATAGTTACTATGTTATGCTTACACATAATGTCTGCCTTTTGTAAACTTTGAAAGTACAAATTGTAAACATTAACTTCATTCTGCACAGCACTGAGCACAATGTCATGATCACTTAAATGCTTTTGATGATGAAGGTGAAGATGATAATGACCACGTAATGCTGTTCTGGTTTGAAAATATCACATAGGCAGTCCAGTACACCTTTTTCTTTTTTTTTTTTTTTAAATATAAGTTGTTCCTCATTCTGTAAAGCTGTCATTCTTCATTAGCAAAAAGGTTACAGTAAGTTATAATTAGTGTTTAGTGTCCTGTCAAATAATTAAGTATAATAAAAAGCTTTCAATGAGTTTAATGTTAACATGGTATAATTAAAGCCACGTCTTGAAATGCATTAGGTGTCTATTATATCAGATATTTGATGCTTTCCCCTCTACAAATGAGATTTTCAAATTTTGCTTATAGTAATGTCATCATCAAAGACAAAAACTCACATGACTGAGATGCCAAATGGGCTTTGCGGTGCCCAGCAAGGGCAATATTCAGACAACCAAATCGCTTACATAACTCTTACTATTTAGTGATAGGGAAATGGAGTCCCAAAGATACTGTGTGACTTGCCCAAGGTTACACACTGGTAAGTTAAGTTTTCCTTGATAGCACTAACCTTCAGTGTTGTACTGAAGTGATTACTATTACTGTCATTATTTCTCTCTGAAGTATAGGATGTTTGTTGGAAAAATGCTTATTTTGTCTTTGTCTTGATGGGGTGAAAAACTACACAGAGGGAAGAACATAATTTTGTACGTAGCTCTTGGATTTAAGCGGTTTTAGGATGCAGGGCTTGCCATAGTGCCTATTTTAAGGCTCAAATACAAAGACAAGGCTTGAATTTCACCCTTTTCTCATCAGAATAACTGGAATGTGCCTAGATACTGGGCCATTTTCTAACCCTGCATTCTTTGAGTTTGTCTCAGGCCTTCTCTTGTATGTAACGTATTCTCTATCCACAAAGATTTGGAAAAATCAGCAGAGTATAAGTAGCCCCTGAAATAAAGGCGTCATTCAAGGAACAAAGAAGTAGAAGGAGGGCTCCAATTAAAATGATGAAAATCTTTAATTTTTATTTAGGTATACTTGTACGGACACGTGTATATACAAATACAGATTGTATGGGTTGGTTTGTGTGTGGGTTCTTTTTTTTTTTACATTTTTTTTTTTTTTTTACGTTTATATAAGTCAGCATTTCAAAACAGCACTCGATGAGTAAGTGCAAAGGAACTGCAAAGCAGGGTAGTACAAGCACAGGACCACACGGAGCTGGACTTCACACCCAGACGCACACACAATGAGTGGCTTCAATGGGGTGTCAAGAGTAAGCATGGAAAGCGGATTTTGACTTATGGGTAACCTCCAACATGCCAGCATCTATTAAACTGTACAGACAATGGGAGCAAGCCCATCATAGGGAGATTTGTCTCACATCTGAGCAGCTCTTGGGCAAATGCATGGGAAGAACTCAGTGATGCCAAACCAGAGACAGACCTGCCCATTCACGGTTCTGAAGGAAAATAAAACGTGGGAGGAAGGCAAGAAGACAAAAAAATAAAATAAACGTAAGAAATAAAAGGGGGGTGGTGGTAGGCAAACGGGGGTGTTGGTGGAGGTGGTTTTCAAAAGAAAAACGACTGACCACAGCTCTGAGAGCAATGAATGGAGGGGAGTTTAAATGGTTTAATTAATTTTGGGTAAACTACTAAAAATGGCTGCTGCCGTTACTAAGGCACCAGAGAAAAACAAAGTCCCTGAAAATCCACAGGTACTGTACGACTCCTCCTTTCACAATGGCAGAGGGAAACAGCCCCCATTTAACCTTCCTAAATGGACTGGCTTGAAACCTTTCCCATGCTTGGGCCGCGTGTGATACTGGCAACTCTTCCTGAGGAAAAAATGAAACTGTCTATGAAAACCACCACAAACAGAAAACCAAACCGAAGTACAGAACTCTGTTACCAAATTCCCTAAACCTTTTTAAACCAACATGCTGGGGGGGGAAAAAACACCACAGGGCTCCAACATCAGACCTTGAAAACATTGAGGATAAAATATGGATCAAAAAAGTCATGTTGTTCCAGGTCCCAAGATGGTGGAGTCTTAAGACTGGGAGGGCGATGACCACACATGAGTCCTGTATGGAGCAGTGTCTTAGCCATTTGTGACTCTTCTCAGCTACGTATACAGTGGATGTTTCAAAGCCTCAATGCATGTTTTGTATCCTGAAAGACTATTGTTCTCACTTACAAAAGACATAAGAATCAAATTAATACTTTATTATCAAACACTATATACAACAGAGGTCGCTAATAATACAGAATTTAAAGAACGCAGTTTTTTTTTTTATTTTTAACGTTTTACTTTTCTTTCCTCTGCCACCCAAGAAAGTACAGTACAAAACAATAGTCTAAACTAACACGAACTGTTACCTGGTCTATTAAAGGATACACGGTATCCACTAAACAGACAGATCCTTATTTCCCTGCTTCATGTTGCAAAGCCCTTGGCAACCAGGGGCAAAGGTCGCTGGGGTTTGACTTACTGGGGCTGAGAGGCAGCTAAGGCTGCCCTTCAGACTTTGAGTTGTTTCTTTTTTTAATTAAAAGCTGCTACAAAATTGCATCGACATCCTCCTAAGCCTCTGGAGGGTTGTAACACCACCATAAAAGGCCACCAGCACTTTCTGGACAAGATGAAAACTCTCTGATACCAATCATTGTCTTGGAAACTCCGTGGCAAGCATTACCTACAATTCCATCACTTAACGGTAGAGAAGCACACTGTCTACTGGTGTGGATAGTCTTGCCTTTTTTTTTTCCCCCCAAACTTAATTTGTAGTGGCATAATGAAGTAAAGGGGTCTAATTTCACTGTGAAAAATGAAAGACAGTGGCAGAGAGGGCCATGAGTAATTATTTTATCATTTGTTAGAGACGAATGCTAGCAAAACCACAGAAGTCACCATTTCTAAAATGAAATTAGCACTGCTAATGTAGTTATGACTAACTGGAATCTTTACAGGATCATTTGATTTCCTTGTGGTTATAGAACATGCAGTATTATTTTGGTTCTGACTATTGATCCATTTTAGCAGGTATCCCCCCACCCCCACTCAAATCCCACTGGGCCAACAAGCCTGTAACTATTAATAAAAAGAAGTATTACTGGATATTACTGAGAGTACTGAGCATAAAAAGGTTAAAGGAAAAAAGAATCCAATGCTGTGAACTTCTGTTCCAGTGAAATGGTGGCTGCCTTCTGTGACAAGACTCGGTCACTCCAGAGGAGTTCCTGATGTCTGGGGAAGCAGCGCTGATTGTGTCTGTGAGGCTGGCAACCCCACCCCCGGGGCTCCAAGTGCAAAGAGACCCAGCAGTAACGTCCATTCCAAGTGGATCAGGTAAGCCCAGATTACATGCCAACATGTGTACAACTCTCCAGGGTGCAAGTGCCTTTACAGCTGCCTTTCATTCACACACTTTTCTAATTCAGAACTACTCACAATTCGTAGCAAATTCCCATTCATGAAGTCTGTCCATAATATGACCCCTCTCTTTTTTTTCATATAGACATTTAAAAAAAAACAAATATACCTATTTTTAAAAAGCCTTATTTTGCTGGAATGCTTCCAATTTTTCATATATTACATGATCATTGCATTTATTTTTTGCTCTGTTCTGAAAGGCATGGTTCCTACTGACATGTCGTGCAATATAAAAAGGCTAGATTTCTTTTCCATTGGCCTGATACTTTTCCCTGTCTAGGCTTTTGGAGTTCAAAGTTGGTGACAGCCTCACCAGTAGTAAGTAACCCCCAAGGCTTGTATTTCCTGGTAATCAACTGGAAATGGCCCTTGTTGGCCATGCTAAGATTCCTTCAACAGGGTCGTCTGGCGTTTATTCTCCTTCTGCCCCACCCCCACAATGAAACAAGATAGCCCCCTATATTTCTAAATGTATCAAGGGATACCACTTTTTTTCTCACAAGTTTAAATAGGACAAGCATATATACTCACTCTCAGCATAAAGTATATCTAAATAATGTATTTTCTATTCTAGCGGATTTTTAAAAAAATATTTTGTTAAAGTCTTTGGGACTCCATCTTGTTTATCTCCCACAGATAAACACATGTTCCCCCTACGCTTCAGGCTGTGTCAGAAAGGGAAAGAATATAAAATCAACACTTGAATTTTTTATTCCAAACTTTGGAATTTTTATTCCAAATTTCCCTTTAGCCCTCCCAAGTAGTGCTGACTGACTCTCCTGGTGACAGGGGTGTGTGTCCGAGCCCCTGTAGTTGTGGAGTGTGGAGCAAAACGTGGGTACTAGGGTGGGAGTCGGGGAAAGGCCACAGCACACTGGCACTCCAGCAAAGCCAAATCACATCTCCTCTGGCCACTGACCTCCTTTCCTTGGTACATATTGTCCCCCAGAGGAGTATCCAGAGCTATTCCATTATACACTCATCAACCCTGGCTTGTCAGCCTTGGGGAAGGTCACTTTATTCATAAAAATGCCTCTTTGAGTTTCTTTTAAAAAAAAATTATTGTAGCACCATGGTGATCTGTATTCCAAGGGAAAAAAAAATCTGGTGTGCATTGCCCAGTCACCAAAAAAATTAGAGGCACTCACACGTACACACCCCCACCAAACCTAGTTTTCTCTGTTTTCAGCCTTGCTCTGTGCTAGCTAGCATTCCTGCACCCGACCTGCTTTCTAGAAAAAAAGGCTTCTTTCATGGAGCACAAGTTTTGCTGTCAAGAGTGCTTTAAGACAGTCATCGTAAAAAATAACCCCAAAAAACAAAAGCAAAAAAAACCCCAAAAAACCCAAAAAAACAAACAAAAAAAACCAGTGTCTCAACCTTTTGGAAGCCTGTTGATTTATGTACTCCTAGAGGAAAGGGTGTAATATTATATCTATCCTTACTACCTCCCCTCTGGACTTGACATGGTGACATGATGCCCTGCACGATCATCTTACAGTCCTGAATGAGAAGGCATAAATATTGTATGGGAGAGGAAAACCCCGCTGGGCCTTGACATCACTAGCTGCATCTGCCACCGTTCTTCCTTGTCCACAGACCGCTGTCACAGTATGCTAACGGAGGTGGGCTCTTAGAGGAGAATGCACAGGCGCTGACGACCACTGGTGTCACTATGACAATTGGGCATTTTCATCTGGAGTCCATTTAATTTGGAAGGGATGAGAGAAGGCAAGGGCAAGGGCTGGGGGCGGGGGAATAGGGCAGGGGAGCAGCAACTACTTTAGCCCCTCTTGGCCCCAAGTTGTTGCTTAGAATTCAGGCTGAAAGAAAGAAAACAAAAAATCTGACATCTGCCAAAAAACCAATAACAAGTCCCTTCTTAGGATGAGCAGTTAGGTGGATCTCTGGTGTTCCAAGACCCTGATGCTTTCTGTGACAGGTGACGGGAGGAGACTGTGCTATAACGTCAAAAGCATCGCCAGGAGGAACAGTAGGATTGCCAAAAGGCGGCTGGGTATCCTTGGTGTTTGTGCCGCGTTCTCACCGCGGGATGGCTCGGCTGACTCATGTACGGTGTCATCTGTTCAAATAGAAAGCACACATTCCAATGAGATTTCACATCCTTAATAACTCTCGCAGCAGCCTGCTGTTAACAGACCTCGCCACCCTCTGCAAAGTAGGGTAATGAACCTTGTGCCACCATTGACTTTCATGTCTGCATAATCACTCATTATTTACAGCAAACAAAGGAGAAGCAGAGAAAATTGGACTTTTTCAGCAATATTATTACGTTCCTTAAAAACTGAGGGGAAAAATTGTACACAGACTGTAACCTTTGGTATGTGTTTACGACGTTGGTTTGCTAGCAAACACACCTTGCATAAAGCCGAGATGTCTGAAGGTCCCCTTTCAACCCAAGATGCCATGGAGAAGCAAGTGACATGTTGGCACGCGCGCGCGCGCGTGTGTGTGTGTGTATAGTTACAATGTCATGTTAGTGGTTGATCAGAATGGGGCTGCCCGTTTTCCTCTTTGCACCTGTTTCATGGGATTCGTGCTGAATGTTTGGTGGTTGGTTACCTACATGAATTTTCAACTAAGAAAAATTAAAGGCCAAAACCGCATTTTATTTATTTATTTTTTTGCCAGAACGGCATTTTCAATTAACTATATGTAATGCCCACTAGACCTCAGTAAGTGGTGCCCACTAGTTTGCCTACAACTGGGAATCAATGATGGTGCTATTTCCATTACAAACCCTGTATCTCCAGGATTAAATTACTTGAACTTGACTATTTTTATTTTTATCAGGCTGAAGCTTGGCACATCAATTATCGGTGTGGATGCAAATTTTCCTCTAAATAAAATGGATTAAGGGAGGTAAGCTTCTTTTATTTAGCTAAAAAGTGTTCTACCAGGCTGCCTCTGACTTTGGATAGCCTTCCTGATCTGCATGATTAACAGGCTTAACTTTGAAACAGGAACTCTGCAGCAATTAGTACCCAAAGATAGATGGGAGGCTTGCCTATGAGCCATGCTTTGCTCCAGTGTTGCCTGTCTTCTTCCTTCCTCCTGGCTTAACTTGTGCTTTCAGACTACATGTTCTCTGGACCACATGTTCTTGGGGCCCAGGGTAGGGTTCAGTGGTAGATTTTTATTTCAGCATCAGGGGACCTTCCTGTAAAAGCTCAGGAGACTGTCATCTTATATTCACTCACCAGTCAATCAGAGAGTGGAGACAAGTGAGACTCTAGTGAGGTTTCTCAATTTTGTAGACCTCAAAGGATAATCCCTAAGTATTCCTGCATGACCCACTTAGAACCCCTTAAAGGACTGTTGAGTTCAAACTCATTTATATCTTCACACCACACATCACAATAAGGATGCTTTCTTTTTCACTGGGTATCGTCACACTCCCTATCCTTTGTCCGAAAGTGGCCACTTTATAGGCGCACAGGCTGGCCCCTGCTTTGGATATGCGCAGGTAGGCTATCTCAGTTCATCACATCCATCCCCAGGATGAGCTAAGCAATCTATCTGCTCTGCGTTAAGGCTTCTGCCCTGGAATGCTCTTCGCCTGTCCTCCTGTAGAAGCTGCTGCATTCCTGTGTCTGATTTGCTCCCGTCCCCTGGACCTGAGCAAACCTGTGTGAGGTGGCGATTGGCTTAACAGACTAGAGAGAAGGTTAGGGAGCAAGAATGCAAAGTTAAAGGGATGCAGAGGAAAAACTATAAAGCCCCCACCTCCCCCGTGGTGCCAACTACTTGTGGTCGCTTCTCTCTGTTCTTCTTCAGCCTGGCAAATGTATTCGATCTGGAGGTAACAGGAATTACATATAAATGCCCTGAATAGCCCTGAAATTAAAATCCAGATCACCTTAAGAGCATCAATATGTTGTCAATCAGAATAATAGAGTGCTTCGGGTTTAATTTGTAAAAACCATAAACCCTGAGGCTTCCCGATTTCATTTTGAAATATTTATATTTATACACCTGAAATTACATCAGCTCTTGGGTTCTTCTCCATCTTATTTTTACTACCAAATTACCCAATACTCTTCCTTGTAAAGTCTGGATGTGTACTGATAAAAGTTATTCCGGTCCTAAGTAGGTACTCAGTGTGAACTGGAGGGAGAGATGCCCTCCCTGTCCTTCCAGGATGCTCAGCAAGGGCTAACCATTGCTCCAGGCAGCACAAGACAGGGTGAATGACCTTGCAGGACACAGAGAGGAGGAAAGCTTTTGTCTTTCATACAAGTGAAGCATGAGGTTACGTGTACTTTTCAGTCTTCTAATCATGGATGATTTTTGAGAGTAACCCTTTTCTAAGCAACCAGCCAGTAAGTGTCATTTTACCCTCAAAGGGGGAAATCTGTCCCGCTAGGGCCACACAGTTCTTCTTGCTCTCTGTAACATGCTGGTCCTAGCTCGGGATTCTAAAGCATCCTTCGATTCTAGCAGGGCCTCAATGTTGGAAGATTCTACGGCCCCTGAGAAGCAAAATGAGAAACTAGCTGTCATTTGGGTAAATCTGAGCAATTTCAGAATCCTAAGGAAGAATTCATAAGCAAAATCTCGCCCAGTGGAAGTTATATCTAACCATCAGAGTTCCTAAGACTCATGATGGTAAATGTGGCTTGAAGGAAGAAAATATTCCTTCTCAGAAACCAAGTCAAATCTTGCCTCCTGCCTCCAGGATTCCACAGTCTGAGGGTTTCAATGGTTAATTGAGAGAACACTAGCAATATTCTGGAGCATATTCTGTGGCATATGTCTGCCCTGAGATCATCCTGTATCCCTGATGATAGGAAAATGGCAGGCAGAGTATGCAAGCAAACAAGACAAATACATTCCAAAGACAGGTGAGTTAGTACACATTGCCAAGAACATGCAGTGGAATCCTTTCAGGCTTTCCAGATTTTTAAAGTCTAGGTCTATACTCCACCATCCACCACAGCGGTGGGTGTAAAGCCACACGTCTGACTGAATTTTGTGAGGAATAGGACAAAGTACTCGAATTTATTATTGCATTCCTACAGCCAGGGATGGTAGCTCAACCTCGTGTTACTTTTTTAGCGAAGATGCTCACAAGAAAGCCCTTAAATCCAGTCTTGACTGACTGAAAGAGCTTTTCCTGCCTGTGCACCTGCATTTCCACTCCCCAACACACACACACCACATTCTAGTAGACTTCTGCAAACTTCCATCAGTTCTATGGGCATAGGTTTGAGAGCCATCAAGGATTTTAAATGCTCAGGGAAAAAGAGCCTATTTCCCAAAGACAGTGACATATGCTCACGTATGAATGCATCTTAATATCTTGCATTTTATCATTAGTTGAATTCAAAGGAAAATCATTCCTAGGGTCAGAATAGTCCTCAGTGTAGCTCTTGATAACCAAGAAAAACATGCAATCTGTTGCTTCTAAACAGCCTCTTGCTTTCTTGATAGGCAATGGAATTTACCTGGAAAAAAGATTATTGGAAAGATATGCCTACAGTCTACCACAGCTTGCATCAAAAAATCGTAATTCAGGATAACTTAGTTTACAACATGCCTAACTCTGTCCCTCATTCTACACATGATTTATTAACATTTCCAATAGAGTAAAGTTCTCTTTATGAAGATCTACGTGTCTACTAATGGTAAGAGAATCCTCCTTTTCTACTCATGTTGGAATGGGAGTCAAGAGAAATTTGAATATTAAACCTGGATCAGTCTCTTACTAGTGATGAGGCCTGGGCAAGTCTCAGTTATCAAGGGGAAAGTGTAGACTCTGTGGTCCTTAGAAGAGGGCTCATCTAACTCAAAGATCCTAAGATGGACCAAGTCTTCAAGCTTTGGAAGGAGTCTGGTACTTTGAAAAGCCCCAGTAATGCTTCCAGATTTCCAGGACTCAAAATATCTCCATGTCAGCACTCATTCCTTGCAACTTTCTAAAGCAGCTAACTGATCCCTGGGGAGTCAAGAAGGCCTCTCAGAGCTTTATTGTACACACCTCCCATTTGTGCTGGGGTAAGATGCCCGCCTTAGGAAAACAAGAATGCTTGGGGAAAAAACCTAACTCTTCCTGTCAGTTACAATGTGAAAGCTATTGTATGTCCTGAGGCACCGCATTTACTCGGGGTAAGTTTCCCTAAGGCTCCCTGGTTGTGTTCTAGTTAACAATACTCAAAAGATAAAGTGGACTTCAAAACCCTTTAATTTCTAGGGCCATAAAAAAGAGAAGTGCTGCTACAAATAGATGAAAAAAAAAAATCTCTGTTCACATAAGGTGTTGGGGGTGGGGCTCACATCTTTCTGTGAAGAAGAAATCATTTTAATTCCACTAAGCTTTGAGATGGATGCGGGAGTTGGGTAAGGAAACCAGTCAAGATCTCAAGCAGGTAGGGCAAAGAGAGGAAACCACAGGAAGGTAGGTATACAGGGGCATCAAGGCACGGTCCTCAGTGCACAGTGGATAGAGCTCCTATCCTAGTGTCTAGTTGAAATTCTAACCAAATGGATAGTATAGGGCCACTTCACCCATAGTACACTACAGTGTAAATGTTTCAATGAGTGCTTGTGTGGGTTTTAGGTTTCTTCAGTGACGGGAAAGTTTGGGTGTGTGGAATGTAGCAGTAGAAAAAAAAAAATTCTCCTTAATACTTATTTTGCCTCAGCAGTCAAGGGTAACATTTGGTTGGACAGACTACTGATTCATTTGTGCGAGTAACAAGTGTGTGAATTTGTGGTGTTAGGCAACATGATTATACTTCTCCAGACCAACTGCTATTGATATCAATAGCACAAATAATATCTGAGATGTAATAAAGGTCTTTAGATCAGTTCAATGACGCATGTGAATTGCCAGAGAAAAATACGTTGTTAGCTATTTTGTGCAATAGTCTTAATTACTTTTATCCATAGATTTGGACATAATGTAAAAAAAATTTTAAAACATATACAATAGAATTTTCTTTCTGTCTTCTATGAAAACAGAGCCATCAATATTCACAGTGATTCACCAGCATGCTCAGAGGATATGGTAAAAAGTAGTGAGATTTTAGCATTCTGATGGGGCTTCTATATTAGGATACTGCATTATATCAAACCCATGTCCAAAAAAGAAAGGTCATATTTTATCTAACATGCATTAGACAAAGATACTGGAGGAATGAGGTAGAATATAAGTAATATTAGCATCGCTAGCAATGAGCAAAAGCAGAGCAACTATAACATGCAAACATGCTGAGAAGAAAGGAAAAAAAGTACGGAAGCACCAGAGAGAGATGCATTTGTTAAAAGAAGAGTCTCTAAGCATACTAACCTGCTGGTTCTAATGAATTTTCTACTTTGTCGTTAACATCGAAAACACGATCATGAACACCTATAGTTTTCATACAGCTATCTATAACAAAAATAGAGATAACAGCCAAATATGTTAGTGAAGACACCCTTAAACTCCCATTTCTTTTTTTTCTTTCTCTCTATTGTCTCCTTTAATTTATGTAGAGATTGTTTTACAATCAATGGCATGTATCCAAATGCCAATATTTGTTCCCATTTGCTGTGGACGTACAACAGTCTAAGAAACAACAAGTTAGCAACTGCTGTGTACTTCAAAATAAAAGCATCATGAAGAATGATGAGAAAAAAAATATGAAAACTAAAACATGGATGCTGATATACAAAACAGGTACCACACAGGATTTAACAGTAAAAAAAAGTTGTACCGCGGTGAACCAGACCACACGATAAAGCATGCGCGGTGAAGCCACCCTCTGAAGCTCATTCTAGTCAACTTACTTGTTGGTCTCACAAAGACTTTGAGCTTTAGACAGGACCTTCTGCCATTATCTGGGATTGCAGAGGCTGTGGATGAGACAAAAAGAGAAAAAAAGGAGAGAGCAACAACTGATTATTCTTCATTTTCAAATGCAAATGCTCTACAAGACATTCTCTCATGAAAAACAGGAGCATACTCTATTTTCCCAGAAGTTAAAAACACTTTTCAGATTGATAAAAACTGCTATAAAGGGCTACTTTCCTGTCCCTGGCTTTTCTTTTCAGTAAAGACTCATGCAAGAATGTTGGTATAATCTACAGAAAAATACTTGGGATTTTTATTTCAAAGGCTCTTCCATTTAACTTGATCTGTTATCAATTTTCTCGAAAATAAGAAGATAATGCTTGAGCCCTCCGGCCCGGCAGTCAGAGAGCCACTCCCCGTCTCCTGCAGGAAAAGGGGCCCAAGGTGAAAGTGCTGGCAAAAACCAGTAACAAATAGTTACAAGGCCAACTTAAACATGACCTATTTTTGCTGGGGATAGCAAAGCTTTGTCTGTCCTGAAAGCCTGTCTGTCAGTGCTTTGCAGGTAATTCAATTAGAGGTTTTACTCAGAACTTGGCTCTGCATTCTATAGGACTAGACCGAGCCCAGCAACTTCCATCATGCTATATTACAAGTACAATATGCTATTGAGAAAGCACTACGGTACAATGGTACATTTATTTTTAAAAAAATTTGCCACAGAGAAGGATGGAAGTAATAAAGTGGGCTTACCAAAACATAACATGTTTCAAGTTATAATTCGAGGAAGAAACTTTCTTCTCCTCTTCAAGATAATAAGACTGTAAACTTTCTCTGCGCTGGAAAGATTATCTCCCCTCAGTACACATAGCATAATGTCAAAGGGATTTCCATGGGCGGTAAGACCTTAACGATCTCATCCGTTTACTAAAGGCATTCTAGAGAGGGCAAAAATGATAAAGGAGTGCTGCATACTTTCCTCCCTGTTTGCCTCAAGTGGTTTCTTCAGAAAATGCAGATGACAACAACAAAAACTCACATGGCTTACAGTGAGTTTGGTGAGACACCTTCAGTGACAAAGACAGGACCCGCGTTTGGTACGCTTTCTCTCTCCTTTAGTTTTATCTTTTACTATTCCTCATGGGAGCCCAGACAATGAAAATGCTTATTTCTTAGGTGAGGGGATTCGAGATGCAAACTCCAAACTAATTTTACACGAATCTCCTCCGGTAACTCCAGGATCCCTGTGCTGAGAAATTTATAAATTCACCACCTAAAAGATATCAAGCTGTAAAGGACCCCTCGTGTCGCTATTCAACACCTGTTGAAACCTCTTAATTCTAAGACTAAAGTACACGGAAAAGAGGTTTTTGCCCCTCCCTCTCGCCCCTCTGACAAGCAGTTAAGAAGTGCTAACAGCTGGCTTTGCTGTAGGCTTTCATTAAATCAAAGTCGGAAAAACTCCCTCTACTGACATTTACAGTAACTAGTGTGTTATTTAGGGCACAATATTTGCACTCTGTGGTTGGATCCAGGAAATGGTGTCCTTCCTGTGGACCCCGACTGCAAATGTGCATGTCACAAACACAGTACACATAGGTGTCTCCAATTCATTAGGAAAACCACGGCTCTTGAGATAGTTTGTCTCATTATTCACAAGAGGTGGTGTGAAAAAGTGACACATGGATATTTACATGCGAGTCTGTGGATTTTTGAGCTGAGATGAACTCCCTACGAGCCTGAGCCTCGAGCGTGAACTTGATTAGCCCCATGCAAGAACGGACTGTACCAAAGACACCACAAGATACAACAGGCTCACGGCCGCATCAAGTCGGGGTACTTCTTGGGAATTTGTACAGGTCTTTCAGATTTATATGTAGCAGAAATCCTGTCAGTCCAGGACATAAAAATCAGTGTAAGGCGCACTGGAATAACCGAACAGCAACAAATGATAAGCTCTCTTTAGGAAAAACTTCAGAGATTTCCCTCACCAGCTCCGAGAGATGGACAGTTAGCCTTAGCTCCAGGCTGAGTTACAGCCTTCTGTAAATTAAGATCATAAAATATAAACATACATAAAAATATAATGTACCTAAATAAAATAAAAGCCTCTCTTGCCTATCTCACTTCTCCATGACTTCTTCCTCTCCTATCACCAGAAAAGCTGTAACTAATCCTTAGAAAAACTCATGAACAAAGAATAAAAACACATAATGTGAGTACAAAATGCAGGTGACATCAAATCAGTTAACTCCACAACCTCTGGGCTGAGCTCATGAAATCAATTCTTAACCCCTACAGCTAACCTGAGAGGGTAGGCCAGGCCAGGCCAGGGCAGTATAACTTGGGCTCTTCATTTACCATACCGAGAAACAAAAATCAAACCACAAAGCATAAAAAGTTTTTATGCAAGATTTTAAAAAGTTAAGAGTCTGGCTTTATTCCACGTTATGTTACAGATTTCTTAACCCCAGGCCCCCGGGATGACAGATGTAGGATGCCTTTGTACAATGAACAAAACACTTAGGATTATTAATTAGTAATGTTTGAAGATCTAAGGTAATCTTAAAAGTGCTTTACCAGTCACAAGTAAACAAAAAGCAGTGGACCGAGCATTAGGAGCAGCAAATACCAGAGGAATTGAAAAAATGTAACAGTCCCACAAGGTTACAAAGAAAATCCTCCCAGGATCAATTAAGAGCTGCAGATGGACACGAGGGAGTACAAAACTGAAAATTGCCTGGCTTGTCTCAGGAGTATAGGTAATATCCCTATAATTCTAGAGCCACACCAGTTTATAATGACCCACACTATCTTAGTTAAAACAAATTTTATTACTTGTTATGTTACTTTCCTTAGAAAATTAACAGGGAAGATTTGAAAACTGATCATAATTACTAATCGCTTCACCCATCCGTTCAAAAGCTTTAAAATTCCTACTATGCTCAGCTTCCCTGTTAGGTACCAGGGGTACAAACGTGTGTCAGACACACGGTTCCTGTCCTTGGGCTGTGGTTATTCCAGCTGGGAACATGAATGTGAACCACATGAGGGATCGCTGCCGTAACTGAGGTCTGCATGGACTTAGCTTGGTCCGGGAGGGGGAGGATGTCCCAGACATGTCTATCAGAGGGAATTTTATCGAGGCTTCAGAGCCTGCAGAAGCCAATCAATAGGAACTGGGACAAAAGAATTCAAACATTTCCTCCCTAAGTTCCCACACTGGAGCTTCAGCAACCAAAAAGAAGTATTATCCTGCAACAGGTGAAGAAAACCTAGACTTGAACTCTTCCCATAAACCTGCATGGATTTTCTAACAGAATTTGTCAAATTAAAATGTGAAATGCAACTCCTGTCTTAACCATTTGTCTCATAATCCAAATCCATATCCCTTTATACAGTTTACTGCTGAAAATGTACATTTGGAGTCCAGAAGCTGGGAGTAGGGGCACGGGACCATTAACACAAGCACAGCCTCCCATTCCGTGATCTTAATAGCAACTTTATAAATCCAACCACAGGGTCCCTTCCCCCTAATGATCCACAAAGTACCAATCAAAACCTCACAACACATAATGAAATATAATCTGAGGGCCCTCTGGTCTCTGTGTTTAGGGTATCATGCTAATAAAGCCATGAAGGCTGCTTATCTTCACTCCGTTCCATGACCTCAGTCAGGCACCCCGACTCCAGCCATTCCTGAAAACCCCTTTCCTTGGTCTCCCAGGGTCAGGGAAGCTCAGCTCAGCACTTTTCAGCCAATTTGATACATAAAGGGGACCACATTCCATGCCTCCCCAAATCAGTACTTCCATAAGCTGTATTCAGCATTGTAAATATACACACTATTCACGTCACAGTTCATTCACTACAGGCTTATTAGTCGGACGTGGCAAGAATATGATGGCATCACGCTTTTGATAGGTAGCTTCTGACCTGGCTCCGGTTACCCTCACTTGAGAGTGGGCTGGACCTAGTATTTTGCATTCCAATGAGTAGAATACAGCCAGTGTGACAGGATGTCATTTCTGGAATTCTGTTGCAAAAGACTGGGACTTCTTTCTTGCTAGTGCTCGCTCTCCTGCTGTCTCTCCCGCTCATGAAGCAAGGTGCTGTAGTGTGAGAATCTCAACCCAGAGGGCCGGTGGCAAGGAACTGAGGGAAACTTCCAGCCAAGAGTGCCCAAGGACCTGAACTGGCTAACAATCTGGTGTGAATGAACTAGAAAGTGAATGCTTAGCCTTTAAAGGACTGTCACCTCGTGGGAGACCCAGACCCAGAGGACTCAGCTGAACTACCCCTGGATTCCCTGACCCACAGAAACTGTGAATGCTAAATGCCTTAGCCCCACATTTGGGGGTAATTTGTAATTCAACAGCTAAATGATACAATGCTGTATAAAAAACACCTCTGTGCCATCAAAGGCTTCCCATGGCCGACTTGAGGGAGACCTAAAGACTAAGGCACTGGGGCATACTCTCCGAAGGACTGCCAGGCCCTGGTTCCCACCGGGCCGCTCCTTTCTTGTTCCGCCCCCATGTCTACAGAACTGGATCGCTTGCTAGCTTACTTTTCAAGCTACTGTTCTAAGTCCGCTTAAAATAGGCCTTGAAGAGAAGTAATTATAAACTGCTGTTGAAGAAATACTACAGGACGTATCTATTTGTTTTCACTCCAGCACTTAAAAACGGGTTTTCATTTTCCTTCACAGGCCACTTTGTTTTTGCTAATGCAGCCAACCTGTGTGGCTCTCTGCAATTACCACGATGTCTCACTTTAACTCCAAATTGCTGGGTGAACTTAAATGAGCTTTGATATAAAATGTAAACTTAGATCCTAAGACAGAATGCCCTTCCTCAAACAGGAGAAACAGAATGTAAAGGGGAGCTTTAAAACATGTGAAATAAAAGGACTGTAATAACAAGTTAAAGCTTCTCTCCATATCAAGAAGCTTGAATCAATTATCTTATACACAGGCTATTACATGAGATACAAATATTTTGAGATTTCAAGCAACTCAAAAATAGGCAAGGCAGCAAACGTCCTTCTTCACAAAGAACCA